CACGTGTTTTTAAAAAAAGTAAAGGCCTTAACAGCGGAGAACAATGCTTAACTCAAATAACGCAACTTAATTATATTCTGGTTGGTCTTCCGTATTTTATAATTACAGCTCGATTATAAGCACAAAATTACATTTCTTAATTACTGGGGTTCTTCTGATTAGTCAAAATGATACAATTTACAACACGCTAAAAAAGATCTATCTCATAAGGACACTTATGAAAGCCTGTCTGCTTTTTATCTAATTTTATAATATTTTAACAACTTAAATGTAAAATCTATTATAATTAATGAAATAACAAATAATTGTATTAAAATTCATTTTTCATCGAAAAAAATTTTTTGCTTTCAGAAAATATTGTCCATATTCATAAAAAAAAATAAAAGCAAATAAAAGCATTTGAAATTAAATAATATCTTTGTTTTATTGAGTTTTGTATGTTACAATTCAGAGCTGATTTTCAGGTACTGGGTATCCAATTAAAAACAAAAAAAACATGATTTGCATTCCTCAAAGCCCTGTGCTTTTAATTATTGTAATCACTAAAACCGATGCGATCAATTTCTAGCGTTTTCATAAAATTAGTTGGGGGGTAATAAATAGTTTTAAAAAATATTTCTACCATGACTTTCATAAAAAAACATATTTATAATAATTTCGATCATCTGTGAATAGTTCCTGAAAGTTTCATTAACATCCGATAATTATTTCTATTTTTGCACGATTTTTCAAATTAATGTGTCATACCAAAAAAACGTATAAAATTGTCTATGTTATTTACTAGTTCCGTTGATACAAATAGAAACAAGGTTTTTTTTTTTAATCAAAATTTAGAATTTTCTAAAAAGAAGGAAAATTTTTAAAAATAATTAAAAAAACTTTGGTCTTTCCTCTAAATAATAACATAAGCATTTAGACAATAAAATTTTGTTTTTCGGCAAGGTTGGCGTCTTTTTCATCAAGCTATGCTCTTTTTTTAGCGATTTCGTGGAGGTACCTAAGCTAACAGATTAAATTTAATATTTCCAATAAGCAAAATACTTTGCTGTATTTCATTTTTTTTTTGTTTTTAATAGCTGCTTTGTGCCTCTTTTTAGTCATCTTTCTCCACAATGTAATTCCAAAGAAAAGAAAAAAAAAAAACAACTTACAAAAATAAAAAAAATACTTTTCTGGAACTTTGAGGAATATTAGCTGATTTAAAGTATATTTAATCAAAATTGAAACATTTAAAAGTTTAAAATATAAAAATGCAATTAACACACCAGTAGCTATTTAAGCTACTGAGATGTTCGACAGATTAATGTTTATCTAATATTGTTCTATGGGAGCTTTAGCTGTGAAATAAAATTGAATAGAACTCTAGTGCTTTTTATATAGAATTTTTAAGTACTTAGTAATCTTAAAAATTAAGAAAATATTCTCTGTAATCTAATGTTTTATTGAATTTTAGATGCTTTCTGGCTTTAAACTTACTATTGTTATCACTCTTATATTCTGATAATGTCATGTATGGGTGCCTGTATCTACAAAGTAGCGGAGTACAAACATTAAAAAAAATTTTTTTTTCATTTGTGTATATATCCTGAAAATTTCATTATAATCCGACAATTATTTGATTTTCGCAAGAATTACCAAAACAATGTTTTTTTACTGCAAAAAAGACGCTAAAGTTCCCATGCTAAACATTTGCCTGCCTGTTGATGGAAGAAAAAAAAAAAAAAAAAAAAATTTTTAAGCAAAATTTCAAATGTGCTAGAAATTTTTTTATAAAATAAAATAAATATTTTGATGATAAAACGGTTTTTCCCAAGTTTGCAGCCTTTTTTCATTATGATAGATGCATTTATGGAGGTACCGAATTTACAATTCCAAGCAGATTTCCCTATGACTTGGTAGGGGAGGAGGGTGTTTAACCAAAAGATCCAACAACCATTTCATTTTTGCAAGAATTTCCAAAACAATGTGTTTTCAGTGCCAAAAAAGATGCTAAAATTTCCAATGCTAATCTTTGGTCAACCCACCGATGCAAGAAAGAAAAGATTCTGAACCGATGTGCTAGAAAGGATTAAAAAAATTTAAAAATAAAAAAAATACTTTGGTCTTAATAAATATTTTGGCAATAAAACTGTTTTTATCAAGTTTGGAGCCCCTTTTTTCATCATGTTATGCTAAATTTTAGAAAAAAGTTTTTTGTCGGGGGGGGGGGTACCTAATGTAAATGGAGATCCTATAATGATAACATTCTTTTCAAGAATTAAAGTAACCAGTTTAATTATTGAATGATTATAAAATTGATTAATTGTAAATTGTTTTAATTCTGAAATGAAGTCACTATTTAAATCATTTCCATTAGGAGTAGACAATATCAATTTGAAAATCAATTTGCATTTAGAAAGAAGCTGTTAATAAAACAGCAGAACAGGAAAGGTTTGATATTTAGCAGTTTACTAAATGGTAGTGGCCAGGTGAAAAAGATTAAATAATATCAAATGCTAAATATGGGACCAAAAAGTAAATATTACAATGATATTTCAATTGCTACTTTGACCAGGTAAAGTGGAACCAGATTGAGTCATTGAAAGTGAAAATGTTTTCAAACCAAATTAAAAATAACATAAGAGGAAGAAAAAAAAAATGAAACTGCTATCAGAAAGTAAAATTAAGTTGATATAATAATTTATCTATATTAGGAAGAAATTGAAACCAGAATATTTTTGTCCTTTTTTTATGTTTTCAATAAATAATGAAACCTATGTAAGAGTAGGTATTACCACAGAAAATGCAATATCTAAAGTTTAAAATGAATTTAAAAAATGGAAAATCTCTCTTGAAGCTTTTATTTTAGTTTTAAGCTAATAGATTAAATTTAATATTCCCAATAAGAAAAATATTTTGCTGTATTTCAAAATTTAAATTGACTGGAAATAGTTTGTTTTGAAATTACTAAAATTGCTGATTTTAGTGCCATTTTTAGCCATCTTTCATAACATTGTAATTCTCTTCATTAAAAAAAAAAAAAATCTTTCAAAAATAAAATATACTTTTTTGAAACTGAGGAATATTATCCAATTTAAATTTGATTTGAAACAAAATTATTTTTCTGCTTAAAGTGACTCATGCTCCAAAGTGATAAACTATTTCATTTTAACAAAGGAACAGAATTAGTAACAGGCCATTAATAAAAGATATTGTTACAGAAGAAAACAGATTTTTATAAAATTCTCAAAACTTTTTAGACTTTAAATAGCATAGAGTGTGATTGACAATATTTATGTAAACATGATAAACTTTAGGTACCATTATTGCTATACATTTTTGAAAACAAAATGACAGACCAATAAAGACATCTCAAACTTGTAACATGTTAATTTTATTGTAATAGTCTGTGTGTGACATAACTTGTACACATAAAGAAAGCAGGTTTCTGTGCTTTGTGATTTTTAATCTTCCATAATTAAATGTAAATTATTGCAATTTTAAAAAGCATGTCACAATCCCTACCAAATGTTTTTAACAAGTCATTTGGACACACAAATGTATGAATATTGTCAATATTTATCTCTTAGTCACATTTTCTAAAAGTAATTTCTAGAAGACTAAAAACAAATTCCTGTCCTAATAATCTGATGAGGTCATATACAGAAAATAGCAACAATACAAAAGTTTGACTGTTACTCTTCATTACCATTTGGTGCATTTCATAAAAGTCTAATACAGTCTTTATTTTTTCTTATTTAATGTGACTTATCACCTGAAACACAAGATTAAATAATTAAATAAATAATCTATTAAATAATTTTTTTTTTCCTTTTTACTTTCCAAATAAAGGCTATGTAAAATTTCACAGAAAAACATATTTAACTAGAATTATATTTTTTTTGTTTTTAAAGCCTGTTGGGAGCCAGTTGACTAATCGGAAATTTATAGAGATCCTGTTCAATTGATTGGGGGAGGAAAAGGATCACATTAACAGCAGTTTTCATTTTCACTATTAAAGTTTACACACAAGCCATTTAAAAATGTTCGAATTAATACTTTTAAACTGAAGCTTCAAATTTCAACTGAACAGGATATAAGCAACAGAATGGTAACTTGTGTAAAGTTCAAGGCCCATTGAACTTGACAAACAGAAATGTAACTATTGGTATATATTTCAGCAAATCACCGTCTACAGTGGTATCCTTTTGTACTGGCTCCAAAAAAGTGAGAACAATACCCTTGTCTAAAATAATTCAAACACAGGATACTAAAACAAATTTTTCATACATAGCTTATGTGGTGCTTATGTGACAAGTTTTCGCAAGAGATTTGTTGTTGTTAAAACAGGTGAGAATTAAAAGGAGAATCTTCAAATTAACTTAATTACCCAGGACAGGATAAGATAAGTTTTTTTTTTTTTTTTAAAGGATATACGTTCAGCACAAAGTCTAGTAGCAGTAATAAATTCATTGGTTAATTAGGTTTCAGTTTAGAACTGCCTAACTGACAATCCTCTAAAAGTTCTTAGGTTTACAAATACAAGCTGGACTCAATTTTCTTAAAAGAAAAAACAACCCCAATTCCTGTCAAGTTGACCTCAGTTGTACATTGAAAATAATACCAATCAATGAGGTTCACTTTTTTTTAGTTTTAAAAATATAACCTAGCAGAGATGTTTTATATACATAAAACATTGTTTATTACATATTAACATCATTTCTTTATATTTATTACCAAATTCACTTTATGCTCCACTGTAAAAAAAAAAAAAAAAAAAAAAAAAAAAAAATTAAATTCTTTAAAATATTTATAATTGTAAAATGTTTGAAATTAAGACAGTTGGGGCGAAGGCAAGTTAAAAAAAATTCAATTTTTTCAAATTGATTAAATTAAGTTTTTGAAAAGAAAATTAAAATTACTTTATAAGAATATAAATGTACAGAAAATCAATTTTGTTTTCAGTTACCAAATGTTTTATAAAAAAAAAAAAAAAAAAAAAAAATAAAATTATAAATTACCTGTTGTAGAGATGGTGGACTGTCTTTTGAATTTGGTTGACGACATCCCTGAGACAATTGAACAGTAATATTCCGTTGATACATAAACTTCTCTTTACAGTTCTCGGTTGTTGAATAAGATATGCTAGATTTAGTATCACAGTCCATTCGATTGAGATCACACGGTTTCATCATTGGGCTTTTCCTATCAACCATATAGTCCCAGTCCTCTGTCACAATTGAATCATTGTTATTAGCACAGTCTGTCAAACTAGTGTCACAATTTTTACTAACCAGGTTAGAATTTTCTGTCCTTGGTCCAAATGAATACTGATTTTTATCAGAAGATTTCCGTATATGGTTAGTTCTTATTCGCCGTTGCGAATAATATTTTGCTAATATATTTTGTTTTCGGTTTCCTTTTGATGAAGATTTTTTTGTGGACTGGGAATTATTTCCTCGTAAGCGTTCAGACTGTTTGTTGAAAACATTTTTAAATGACTTCGGTCTTGATGCTCGTCCCTGCGCCTTGACCTTTGAATACATATCAGTTTCAAATAAGTCCACTTTCCCTTCTTCCAAATCTTTCCAGAATGTATCCTTAAGAGTTGTAGGTGGAGGTTGTCCCAACAGCCCACAATTGCCAATTGATGAAAGATTTCTCGAGTCATTAGCTTCCAAAGGGTTCGCTCCAGATGAAACATTCCCATAGCTGGCAGTGGTCAGAGAGCTAGTAGGAGTAGGAGTAGTAGTAGTAGTAGTAGTAGCAGTAGATAGAATTTTGCCATCAGGCAGGGGAGTCCCTGGAAGAAGTCTCCCTTCCATCATAGCCTGTTAGAAAAAATGAAATAAAATATGGTGAGAGAGAAATTTATTTTCAAGGTGAAAAACAAACACACACAATAGCATTTAGTTATTGCTGGACTTGCTAGTTTTGATAATAATGCTACACAAGTTAAATAAGAAACTTAGTAGATGCTATCAGTGTTTTCATGATCTACACTAAAGCCTAGTTTACAACATTTAGTCAATCAAATCATTAACTGCAAGCTAAATGTGTAGAAAAATTTATTTAATTGTTTAAATTTTCATTGAGTAAAAGAAATTTTCAAACTTTCTACTGTATTTGCTCAGATTCATGCAAGTGCACACAAAAAAGATTCACAAATTTATTTTAGGCTGAAATTGTCAGGAGTTATAAAAGGAGAAAAGGTATATTTTGAGGTTTCATCTTAGTTGCAGGTACTTCAAAGCAATGAGAAGTGACAATAAAAAGAATGTTAGTAATGAAATATCTTGATTGTTTATTTAGACATGACATTTCAATTTTACTTATGGTTAAATGGAATTTTAATGAAACAAAAACATTAGACCAGTTATATATTATTTGGCTACTTAAAAAGCCAGTCATTTTTCTCATTTGATCACAGCAAGAGCATTTTGATTGTAACTGCACTTTGATTCATATGTATGATTTTCGGGTCAAAATTGATATATATTCTTTATTAATTCTAACATTGAAATTAAAAGAAAATAAATATTAGTAAAAAAAGGTAAAAACATAACCACACAAAAACAGAAATGTGCAGTTTATAGAGAAGGTACTGTAAATGACAGAACATATCAAAAATGATTTGTAAAAATTTCAAGCTAAAAGATTTCTTGCTAAAAGATATTCTATAATCAGGTAGACAAGAATCAATAGGTTAAAAAATGATCAATGTGGAGAGAAATCACTATTCTAAAGATGTCCAAATGAAGAGTTGATTTTTTTTACCAGATTGGTTATGTTAGTTGCATCGATGAGTAGCTTCTTCAGAAACAAAACACTGGATTAGATTTTGGATGGTGGCGGTGGTGCTTTGCTTGTTAAATATAATGAAGGTTTCATTTTTCAACAAATTGTGAGGTAAGTGAAAAACATCATCACTAAGTGTATTAAGTTGGTGTCATTACTGAAAAGGTAACATTGGATGGCATTAGAAGAGTTGCTCTTTGCTACAAGGGTTTGGATTTAATGCAGGAAAGAATAATGCTAGACAAGAATTTCTTTGGTAAGCTGCCAATAACTGTTGCATTTGGAGTAAAAGTTTTTATTCATTTGCTGTCTTCAGCAGATTCTGCATTTTTTACCTTACCATTTATTGACAATTCTCATAATGGTGGTGGGGAGGGGAGAGAAGAAAAGTTTCAATTCTCTGCAAAAAGCATTAAGAGTACTTCTTGGCAGAATAAAATTAAAATTGTAGGTAGGTGGGTGGGTGAATTATGAAATGATGTGCAAGATGGAAGATAGTGGAATAAAAAAAACAAAAAAAAAAAACAATAAAACAGTAAGTTGGCTTTTTCAATGAAATTAATGAGGGAAGTAAAATAATTTTAATTAAAGTGGATTAACTTTTCTGGGCAACAAGAAATGTTCCTAAGTACTTATGTTGAAGGCCACAAAAAGTTTCTCTTCAATTTGTGCCAACTAGAGTGAAGTGAAAAAGTTCAGTCAAGAAACAAAAAAAAAAAAAATTGTTTCGTCATTTGGTCAAGTTAGAATTTTTCTGCACCCCCTCATCCATTCTATTTAGGTTGACCTGTTTTTTTCATATTTACCAATTTAATAATTCTGAGTTAAAGTTTTAAAAATGAAAAATATTGTTAAAAAACAAACCATGACATAAGTCCTTTTGAGATTTCAATCATGTTCAATATTAAACTTGTTTAATATTTAGTTTTAATTAAAAATAGTAGCCATTTTAGGTGATATAAAAAATGTTATTAAACTATCATGTACAAATACAGTTCAGCATGAGAAAAGAAACACTGACAAGAATTAATCCAAATCTGCAATATTTCAAATATATGATATTCATGAAAAGCAGAGAAAAATAAAGCAACCATCCATTATTTCAAAAAGATGGGCTTTATCTAGACAAGTATTGCTTAAATTCTTAGAAATGAACAGGTAGCATAAGTTCAATGCTGTAAGAGTCAACATCTGCGAGACATTTATGATGTCTATTTGCTGAAGTAAGTTTCCTTATATAAACCCTTATGGCATATTACAGTTTATTAGGTTGATGAAAAATTTCCCAGCCACAATAAAGCAATCTTAAGTGTCTTTGAAGTTTACTCTTCTTTTCATGCCCTCCTTCTCTTAGTTGTGGGGGGAAAAGAGAGAGAGAGGGATTCATGACTGAAGGCACATTTGGTGCACAATTATTTGAGTTTATTTGTTTGGGAGGAAAGTACAGTAGCAGCAGCAATGGATTCTTGAAACTCATGGCACTGCAAAAGTGTTGATTAAATTCTAAACAGGGAATTTAACTTCAACAATGAACAAAACAAACTGGTGATCTGGAGATGAAGAAAAAAAACTGCATCATCAAAATTCATAGGTGAACCAGTCAGCAGAAGTCATTTGTTTACAAGACTATTGGGAAAAATTCAGAATGTTAAGAAAATTATCCCCCCACCAGCAGAGAAAGATCAGCTGAGGATTTTGTTGCATGACAATGCCAGACTTCATGCTGCCAACAAAATATTCTAGACTTGTCTAACTGCAGACTTATTTGTTAGGCCAACAGTCCTACATATAAAAAATGTCTAAGAATTCATTGGATTAAAACCCATATCATTCTTTTAGGAAGGAAATCACAATTGAAAGGAAGTCCAAGAGAAGGGCCAAGCAAAATACTTTTGATTTGAGATTTTATTAATAATAATAAAGTTAGAAATTTTTGCAGCCAGAAATTAAGTGGATCATGCACTTAATTCTGGCTTGAAACTTTAACCTGTTTTGAACTGGTTTAAGATAACTTGAGGATAATTAGTTACCCATGCAGTTTCAGAATCTAGGATTAAGATTGTGTAGTTTACATAGAAAATATAATTAGTTATAAAAGATCCTAACTCTGAAAAATTCTTTTAAAGAGAAATTAACAGGTTTGTTGCATGAATCAATGACTTGAACCTTCGATTGCAACAATGTAGAGTGTTAAAAGGTAAGATTTAAAACAATTATGTAAAAAGGTTAAATTTTAAGCACATTAGAAATTAAACAATTTAAAGAATTAAAATGAATTATTTTAATGTTTTAAATTGTTTCATAATCAAAATGCTTCATTATTTTGCAAAACAGAAGTGGGAAGTCAAAGTAGTAGCTATTCTTGAACTACAAGCTTTTAGAAGTTTTAGCTTAGAATATTCTATTTGGTCAGATGACTGATATTTGAAAAAGCATCGAAAGGTTTCTAAATAAAACTCTAAAACAGTTTTACAATCTGTTCAATTTATGAAAACAGGATACAAGATTGCAGGAACATGAAATTAGTTTTACATTACCAAATTATCTGATAAAGACAAGACTTTTGATGTTTAGTCATTTTAGCCAAATTTGAGAAGTGGTTTGGGCCAAAAAATTTACAGCCATCCCTTATAGTTTACATAAGCACCAATAGCCTATTTTAACTTCTAATATTCAGAAAATGCTAGTGTACTGAAACCCAAATTCCTGTAATTTAAGTTCATGACAGTTGGTACCTAATAATTTTTATATTAGTATTTCCCTCACATCAGTATTTTGTGAAACCTGATCATGTAAATATGCAAAATATATATTATACAAATAAAGTGAATAGACAATTACAATTAGCATCAAGTAATGCTAAATGAAAACTGATCAATTCATTGAACTGTAACATTTCTTGGATGTCAGTTGTAACCAGAATGTAGGGGCGGGGTCTTTAGAATATTTGGGAGAACAAGGTAAATACTTAGGAACAAAGGAGAAAGACAAAAATGAACATAAAAATGCCAAGAAGCTAGAGTCTAAATAAATAAAAAATTTAAAAAAAAAAAATTAACAAAATAAATACACATATCCAGATAAATTTGAATAACTTTTTTCTTTAAATCAGAAAATTAAAACTTTCCAGCAATAATTTGATGCTGGAATGACGGTAGCAAATTTTCTGTCAAGTACAAAAAATAAAATTTCACTAAGTTTATTGTCAAAATGTCAGAAAACGTGTTTAAAATCCTCAAAATTGATGAGCTTGTTCTTTTCATTTTTAGAAACATCTCTTAAATACAGTTTAATCTTTAAAAGTTGTTTTTTTTTTTTTTAATCCTGAAAGCCTTGTCAGATTGAAACTATTGTCATGACATATAGATGCGTGGAAGTCTATCAGTTTCGAGAAACCCTGGCTATATTATGCACAATAAAGACTAATTATAAACTATGTAGTAACAGGTTGCTTCAAAACAAAGGCAAACATAGCTCTTCACAGCTTCTTTTAATATCTGTAAACTGTGCAATGCCCTTAGAAAAAAAAAAACAGTGTAATGTTTTTCCACTGCCTTCTCCACAAAACTGAAAACTTAATTTTTGAAAATAAGCAAATTTGAGATTTCTCAAGTTAAAGTTGTGATTTTAGAAAAAAAAAAAAAAATCTAACTAATTATTGGAGTCTGTTGTTCTATTTTGATCCCCATTCCAACATTTGCGATTCTGTTTTTATATACACTTTATTTTTTTTTTTTTTTTAAAAGAATATCAAGAAACAGTGATCCAGGGTTGAGGTGGTGGAAGAAACATATCGCTCACTGCTATCATTGAGTGGCTAAAATCTATCAATGCAAGAAATGAACAGAAGCTTTTCCACCAAGTATGAGCCAACAGGAGGGCTACTATGGCATAAACTGCAAATAGCTTTAATCAAAGTAAAGGAAGAAATGTATCATGACAATATATTGAACTTTTTTTTGAATATTGGTTCACAGACTAGCAGAATACCCATACTAACCAAAGACATCTTTAATGTCAGAATTGGACTATG